GTGAGGTTAAAGAGAAGACTGAGTTACCTTGTTTAAGAGTCAATCAAGAGATAGTTCTCGATGAACTTAAAAATCGAACACCAGAATTTTTGGTTAAATATAGAAGCAACTTAGAAGAAAATAAGAAAACAAGAGATATAAAGACAATAGAGGTAAATTCAGTCGAAATTAAACAAGAAATTAATAATATGGTAGACCAGAATGTTGTTGAAGATATTTTTGACAAAGAAATAAAGATTATTTTGAATAGGTATAAGGAAGTCTTTAAAGAAGAATTAGGTACTCTGAAAAATTTTGAAGTAGATATACGATTAGAAGAAAATTATAGGCCTAAGTTTTGCGGCATAAGAAGATTACCGTTTTCTTGGATAGAAGAGATAGATAAAGAATTAGATAAATGGTTAAAAGACGGAATAATAAAACCAATAGTGCATAGTGAATGGGCAACACCGTTAGTGCCCATAAGGAAACCAGATAACAGTTTAAGATTGTGTATAGACTATAGAGTAACAGTTAATAAGTGCGTAATAAATGAAAAGTATCCACTACCTAGAATAGAACAACTGCTAGCGAATTTAAGAGGAGACACCCTGTTTTCAAAGATTGATTTTTCGAATGCGTATTTGCAAATTAAGGTGAGTGAAAAGACAAGTAAGATACTAACGATTACAACTCATAGAGGTTTGTTTGCATTCTGTCGATTACCTTTTGGTTTGAAAATATCAGCGCCAATATTTCAAAGAACGATGACGGCGTTATTTCAAGGAATAAAAGGAATAATGTATTATTTAGATGATGTTTTGATATCTGGTAGAACAGAAGAAGAACACAATTCGAGATTAGTTAATGTGTTAAATATTATATTAAAAAATGGTTTAAAAGCTAATTTGAAGAAGAGCGTTTTTGGAGTAAAAGAAATAAAGTATTTAGGACATGTTATAAAGGGAAATGAGATTACGCCAATTGGAAAGAATATAGATAAGATCATGAATATGAGAGCCCCGAATAATAAAGCGGAGGTACAAGCGTTTTTAGGAGCAACAAATTATTATCATCGGTTTGTTCAAAATTTTGCAGAAATTGCTACACCGTTGTATGATTTATTAAAGAAAAATAAAAAATTTGAATGGGGAGAAGCACAGGAGAAAAGTTTCGAAAAGTTGAAAATAAAGATGGTAGAGAAGCCTATTTTAAGTTGTTTTAATGAGAAATTAAATATTATTTTAGCAGTAGATGCTTCTAATGAAGGTATAGGAGGAGTTTTGTTGCAGATGATAGATAATGTGGAGAAACCTGTTTTATTTTTATCGAGACGATTTAATAGCACTGAGAAAAATTACTCAACGATAGAAAGAGAGGCTCTAGCAGTGAAATTCGGGCTTACGAAATGTAAGGAATATCTGATAGGAAAAAGGTTTTTATTGTATACGGACCATAAGCCGTTGGTAGATTTATTTAAAAAAGAGAATAAGGAACTTATGATTTCACCCAGGTTGCAAAAATGGCTAATTTTAGTTGGTAATTTCGATTTTGAAATAAAATTCAGAGAAGGTAAACAAAATTGCTTACCGGACATTTTATCAAGATTGTTTAATAAAGACATTGAAGACAAAGAACCAATAATCAATAGTTTAGAATATATAGAAGAGGAAGAAAATTTAAATGGTAATATTATAAGAGCGGTGAGAATAGATACAAGAGAAAAACCTATAACATTTGATATAGTAGATAAGATATCCCAAAAAGATGAAGAATTAATAAGAATTAAAGCTTGTTTAAAAGGAGATATAGAATGGAAAAATGAAGATAAAGCGTTTAAAAAAGTTAAGAGGGAATTAAATATAGAAGACAATTGTTTATTGAGAGGATATAGATTAGTGATACCTAATGAATTAAGAAATGAAACCTTAAATGTAATACATTCAGGTCATCAAGGCATAGAAAGAATGAAAAATAAAGCAAGAGAATATATGTGGTGGCCTAAGATGAATAAGGAAATAGAAGAGTTAACAAGGAGCTGTGAAACCTGTAACATGTGGGCTAATGTTCCAGCAAAGAATAAGGAAGATAAATGGCCAAAGACAGATATTCCATGCGAAAGAATACACGTAGATTTTTTAGAATATGAGAAGAAAAGATTTTTTATCATGGTAGATGCAGGTTCAAAATGGATAGATTGTCAGCAAGTTTCAGGTTTATCAACAAGAGTAGCTTTAGACAAGATAAAGGATTTTGTAGGCAAATATGGTTTGATGAAAACGATAGTATCAGATGGAGGTCCAGCGTTTAAAGGTAGAGCATTTGATAAATTTTGTGATAGGTGGAATATTAGACATTTATTATCACCACCTTATTACCCAAGAAGCAATGGACAAGCTGAACGAATGGTAGCTTTAGTAAAGAGTTGGTTGAAAAAGGCAAAATATGGAGAAGGGCAATGGTGGTTATCATTGTTAGCATACAACAGTACGGAAACAGCAAAGGGAAAGTCACCAGCTGAAATATTTTTAGGAAGAAAGACGAGATCAGAATTAGATTTTTTAAAGGAAAAAGTGATAAGGAGAGAACAACCAGAGAGTGAAAGATTTCCAGTAGGAAGTTTGGTGTGGGTATTGTTGTTTGATGGGCCTATTAAATGGGGGAAGGGGGTAATAAGCAAAAATATAGGAAAGAAAAAAGTAGAAGTAAAGATTGAAGGACAAGAAGGAACCTTTACAAGGCACCTGAAGCAAGTAAGGTGTAGAAGCTTAAGGCCTTAGAGAGAAATGAGAATTATACGAAGAATTAGAAAGGAATAAATTGATGATAGACATAGTAGGAGAATCATAATTTAGAAAGGAATAAATTGATGATAGACATAGTAGGAGAATCATAATTTGGAAAGGAATAACGTGATGATAGACATAGTAGGAGAATCATACGTTGTAGGAAATAAAAGGGATGTTAGACTTAATTAGGAGAGTTATATTTTATAAAGAGTTAGAGAAGAAAGTCGAAGAATATATATAAATATGTGTATAAAGTATTTGATTTAGATGGCCTCCTATGTTAGAGTGGGTAACAAGGTAATGAAGATAGAGATCCGAGAGGTTGACGGTTCAGAAGAATCCAACAGATGGGTAGAAGCTGCTAGGAACGAAGCGAAACAAAGATACGGAGATTGGCTACAAGAAACGCCAACGAGAGGGGGTCGCAGAATAGCGCCGTACAACACAAGAAGGAGAGTGGAATGCTGGGCTTGTGGGGGTGAACACAAACTTAGGTTTTGCCCAAGTATAGAGTTGACAATGAATAGTAATGCGAATGCACCAGGGAGGAACATGGTAACCGCGGCAAACTCGATGGAGTTAAGGGAGAATTAAAGGGGGAGATGTAGTATTATGTAAATTTAAGATGGTACGAAATTTAACATTTTTATAATTTTGTTATTATGTATATTTAACATTGTACGAAATTTAAGATTTTTATATTTGAATAATAATAGTTTAATATTTATATGTTTATATTTCGAAAATTGGTAATATTTGTACTAGATTTAAGATTTACATATTTGAATAATGAGATTTTAATTTTATATATTTGATTCTTCGAAAATTGTTTAATTTTATATATATATATATATACATTGTTAATTCAAAAAAAAATACAGTTTTTGGATATATTTAATTCTTCGAAAATTATTTTATTTTTTATTAATCGACGATATTTTGATTATTAATTTGGATTTGATAGAAGTTTGAATAGAAGAGATATTAAAATTCCATAGTTATTCAGTCTCTCCCACTAGCCTCAGCAACAAATATCAATCCCATACTCGGTACAGTTTGCAAATAACACTTACTGATATTTTGTTTTTTCATTGAAATAATTTAGATATACATTGTTGTGATTTCTTTCCAAATGTCATTCTAAATTTGACAAAACCAGACATTTTTAATTTGAAATATGAGCATTTATTTTCTATTGTATCAAGAGTAAAATGCTTCTCAAATATGATTTTATCCTTGATCTTAAATCTATATAATAAGATGATGAATTGTGGAACATTTATTAAACTTTCAAATAAAAGAGTTAAAGAGAATAAATTTTTTAAATAGCAATGATTTCATAGAATTCAAAAAACAGATATATATATTTAATTTCATTTATAATATGCACTTCATTAACATATAGTAAAATTAATCTGAACAAAAATAAATTATTAGCATATATAAATTATAAAATGATTTTAATAGGTTTATAAAAACTGCCCTACATTTTTGTTTAACAATTTTTAAGTTAGATTTTGAGAATTATTTAAATTAACAATATCCAATTTAATAATTTTTACTTTGACTTGTTCACTTTCCTATAATTAATAATCTTTGAAAATAAGTTAAAAATTAAAAATAAATGAATTTAATTGTTTTTAAAATTTATTAACACTCCAGGAATCTTTGAGAATAAATTTAAAAATTTTTTAAAATGGCGTAGAATTAAGTTGTTTAAAATTTATTAACACTTCACTTAATTTATAATTTGAAAATATTATAAAATCTCAATTAAATTATGAACATTTGTATTTACAATTATACAAATATCTTAATATATGATTTTAAACAATACACTGAACCAGAAAAATTCCCTGGTTCGGTTCGGGGTTTTGAAAATTTTATAAAAGGGGTTCAGATTCGGTTCTGACTATTTTTCAAAAATAGGGTTTTCTTCTCCGGGTTTGGATCCCTGAATATAATCATAAAGTATGTTTCACTTTGTTTATTTTTGGAAAAAGAGTAAAAATATTGTAAAAAAGATATATGTTGATATACTATTATTTGATTTGCAATTTTAATATATATTTATTTTCTTTTGTAATTTATCATCATTATAAATTATTGAAATAAAAACGTTATGATGAATAAAAAATAATTAGTCTCAACAACCTTAAGTTTTTCAATAGGTATCACACCATTTCATAAAAAAATTCAGCTTGTGCCAATTTATCACAGAGATAATGTGCTCTGTGACCTGCCCTTGATATTAATTATGAATCAACAATCTATTTCAAAAAATGCTATTATAATTATTTTATTAAAATTATATTGAGAAATAGATACATTATATCAAATATATCTGTATATTGTTATCAAAAACATGATTAAAACAAAGTTACGATGAAATAGGTTAAACGCCATATTTGTAAGTACAACATTCATTATGAAATAATTATATTTACAAGGCTTTTTTAATGTTCGAATAATAAATTATTTTGAGGATCATTAAAAATTTTAAGTAAAAAGCTAAAAAATTAATAGATAAATTAGATACATCTATAATATATAATGAATTCAATCTATTTTATGTACATTTCGACGTTTAATATTATGTTCGATATCTTTATTATAATTTATTGTATTTTCTTTCGAATCTAGTGTTTTGGGAGTGTCGATTAATTCATCTTTTTTCAATGATAAATCGACTTCGTGCTTATTAATTTTTTCGAAAGAATCCTCAGAAGTTTGGCTATCTCTGCTGCTTCCTGACTCAATACCTATATTTAAATATTATATTTAAATTATGATTATATAAACACCCAATTTTCTAATTTTAATAAAAACAAATCATTTAATATAAGGAAATTAGTTTAGACCGTCAGTGATTGGTAAATGTTCGTGAATTGTATCAATAACTGATAAGATTGGAATTTTATCCGAATTTTTATGAGTTTCTCCACTTGTGCCAAATTCATTTACTCTCTTCATATCAATCTTATAAATCCAACGTTGATAGAGATATATGAAGAATACGATATCTTTCAAAATTGATGATAAAAAGAATATATTTATATCGTAAATAAATGAAAACATATTTAAAATCGAAAGTAAAAAAAAAACCCTACAAAAAAGTATTCATATATCAATGAAAATTTGCAAATAAAAGATTTAATCCATTCAAATTAATATCTCATAAAAATAACCATCTCGGAAGCAGCCAATTCGATACATGATGGGCATATGAATTACGAAAGCAAAAATATCATCTATAAAAGTATTAAGAGCTTTGTACGTTAGCATCCTCCATGGCAAATGCGCTACCGATTTCATTTTATAATTTATAAATAATTGAGGAGTCATCATTATAAATCCTGAATAATAAATAAAATAATTAAATTAAAGAGGTTTAATATAATATAGTTGTTAATGTGCTTGTTAATATTTTTTAAATATATAAATCGGTGGTATCGGTTCTGCTTATTTACTCTATATTCATCATTTATATTAAAATGAATGCAATTTGTTAATATTAAATACTGCGAGTTCAACAAAAGGCTTTTTGCCTTATTTACAATTTTTGGTACCCTCAGTAATCAGAGACCTGCATGTTGGGACCAAAGTACGGCCAAGGTTTAAGAACCTGGCCGTAAGTTGGTATGATTTCAATCTGTGCTGATCCTAATAATAATTTATAAATCCGGGCAGGATTTTTTTTAATACCATTTTAACATTCAATTCTATAATTTCTGCTATCCCTTTGAAACCATTTACATTTTAAAAAAACCCGAGCAAGGTCGGAGAATAAAAATTTATAAAACACCCGATTGGAAAAAAAAATTGGATATGGACTTGAAATGAGTACCCACTTCTACAAGTCTCCAGTGCTAATATACCCTTATCATGATTTGTTAAAAATTAGCTTCAATTATGTATAATATTTTTTTTAATATGAAAAATTTGTATAGGTAAGTAAATTTAATTACCAAATGTTAATAAGAATCCGTATAAAATGTTGAGAACGAAAGAATACCATCCTTTGTGCTCTTGGTAAATCATCGAGTAAATAGAATATGAAATCAGAAGAGGAAATAAAAGCCAAGATAAATATTTAAACGCCATCTAAATATTTATCATTTTAAAAAGTATGATAAAAAATTTCAAACCTTATCATATTTCTTGGTGTCTGATTCTATATATGTTGATTTATGTGCAAAGCTTATGTGAGGTAATAATCCTAGTATATTATTTATAAATTTATATTTAACAAATATATACATTACCAAATGTTTTGGATGAAAAATCTAATTTGATATCTACGCACTTGGTAATTTTCCAAATTTCAATCAACATCCCAATGAATACAGTAACTCTGACCATAAAATTAGTTTCATTATCTAGCACATACAACAAAACAACAAGAGAACTCACTATGTTGAAAAAGACGGTCCTTATAGATAATCCTTCTAAACTCTGCCTACTTTTCCAAAACTGTATATCTATAATAATCATGTTTATGAATGAGAATGATATATTTAAGCATAATTTGTAAATAATGAGAAATTTAATTTTGCCTGGATCCCCTTCTTTAAAAATAACAATATATTTTAATATTTCCAGGAAAAGGTCCTAACGAAAGTGCAAGTAATAATAATGTTCGAGATTTATTTTAGAAGATATAAATTTGTTTAATTTTTTTTAAATTAAACTAACAAAGTTTAAAACCAGAACGGGGCCAAATATAAGAATATAAAACAAAACCTCCTTTCAAATTTTTAAAAACCCTAAGTAATTTACCAAATCCAAATGCCAAACTGATTAAAATCTTCGACATTTTTATAAAATGTTAAATATTTTTTTATCATTATACAAAATATTTAGTCAGTATTATAGTGCGCACAAAGTGAGCGTTTCAAGAGCTGGGTTGCAAAAGCAAATAATGCATTTCAAATGGTATCGTGAAAATAGGTCAGATAACCGCTTAGCTTTAGAAACCTTTTGAAAAAACTTGTTTGCTTTTTAGATACTTTTTTATTCATCCATTTTTCACGATGGCCTACGATTTTCCTTAGAAAGCCAATAAAAACTTGTTACCCATATATGAATAATAAGAAGAAGGGCAATAAAAATTCCTTCCTATTTGCTTAATTATAAATTTAATTCAATGTTTTATAAAATGTAAAAAAATAACAGACAGACGATAATATTATAAAAAAATCAATTCTTTTTAATAACTTAGTTAAAATTTTGAATAGATGATTACTAAAAAAGGCAACCTCAATTTAAACGAGGGATGCTTAATGTTTTTTTATTAAAAAAGTACTGTAAAACGCAAGCTAAATTTGTGCGCACACAAAATTGAGTAAAGTGATAGTTTAATGGGTTTCCCCGACATGCGCAGTAGGTTTCAATTATATAATATTATTGGCTAAAGCTATATAAGATGTAAAAAAAGTTTTAAAAATAATTTTGCTAATAAAACTTCTAGTATTTTAAACAATCATAATAAGCTAGAAAATGAGCCTGTTTAATAAATAAATAAATATATCTTTCTGAAATCTCCATAAAATTTGCAGTTTGATGATGTTCGATATATAATAATTATTTTTTAAAAAAAATTTTCAAAGATAGAAATTTTCGAAATTCAAGCCTACTACATTCGGTAAAATCTTACATATTCATTTTTACTGAACTACGCGGTTCAGGCTAAGGACCGAAATCCTTTGTAGACCTCGTTATCAGTTTATATGAAAATAGAGTGTTTATATCGATGAAAGAAACTTTTATTAAACACCAAACCCACTACATTTGCTAAAATCACAGCCAATAAGTATTTGAGAGTTTGTAACGTACTATGCGGTTCAGCTAGGCTTAACATTAAGCTGCAAATTTGATAGAAATTCCAAATATATATTATATATCGATTACATCATTAAAGTGAAATTTTGATCGGGATTCTATAAATATAAAGATCTATATTTATTTATCAATTAAACATGCTCATTTTCTTGTTTATAATATAATGATCGTTCAAAATACTAAAATTCTTTATCAACAAAATTATTTTTTTGTATTTATTGTAATATATCTGTTTTTGTGGAAAGTTAATTTTGCGCATTCATTGTTATATTTTTTTGTTAATTTATCAATTCATCATCATTATTATAATAAATATATTTAAAATTATTAATAAATTCATATTTTACAAAATGTGCAAGATATAAAAAGCATAAAAAAAGGTAAAATCATTTTAATTATTATATTATTTTTGTTTTAATTTCTTTTTCTCCATTTGTGAAATATTATTCGATTTTGAAATACAATTTAATTGCTATTAGAAATTGTGAATTGTCAAATTATACAAAAAAATACACATATGTAATTAATAAATACTCCGAATTATAGTCGTTTTTTAATATTTATATATAAAAACTATTGAGCATGTCGGAGAATCAAAACTATCGCCTTACCCAAAATTGATAGTAAAAAATAAATTGATCAGTAAATTTAATCGATCAAAAATATGATTTCTGCTAACCTTTTAGGATTTTATTATAATTTTATACAACTATGGTACGCGACTAACATAGTTCAAATTTTAGCGTATTTGTTTTATATTTTTACAAATTTTAAGGATAAAAGTATGAAAAATGATTTTCATGCTTATTGATTGTGATTCAATATATTCTCTAATCACAGTCCTGGGTATCGCACTGTCAAAATCTAGCATTTTCATGTTATTGTCTATCATTTAACCCAGTTCCCTCCACTTCTGCAGCATCTATTCATCAAATCGTCTTTTGTCTTCCGTTCAACATGTCGAAACCACAGCCTATTTCTGCTAGTAGCATCCTCTATCGCTTCTATTTCAATCTTAGTACTTTGAGTATTTCTCTTTCCATATATCCATCTAACAATTTCACCTTCGTTCTTCCTAACTTGTTCTCATTGCCCATATCCAACTTCTCATATAGTTTGCACAACTTTTCCAAGAGAGACATTTTTTTCATAAAAATTGAGGACATCTCTCTGAATTTTTTTCATGCCCATATCCTTGCCACCACTGCCAAGTAAACCCCTCCATCTTCGATAAGTGTAACGCCTAAATAACAAAATTTCCTCATTTTCTCCAAAGTTTTTTCATTTCCGATATTTTTATTATTGTCATCTATATGTCCTCAAAGTAATTTTTATCATATTCACTTTGGAGCTAGCAATTGCGATAACGCATTTGTTACCACTTACTAGACCCTTAATATATTATTGTATTGCTATAGCAGCACATTTTCCAAACCCATATTATTAATCATGGTCTATAAATCTCGTCATTCCCCTATCATCTAAGGACGAAGGCCCAGTTTTCAGTGTAACCGAAAGTCATACAAAATCATTTTTTTTAGTCCTAAGCCGCCCATAATCTCGTGGTAAAAAACTAACCGACCTCTTTGTAAATGGAATTATGAAATTTTATATTAAACTCAAAACATTTATTTTATTCTCTAATCTCCCTTCTATCGTGTTATATATTAACATTTATAGGCCAATTAAGCTCTTAGGTGGCATGGAAAAAACACGCGAGTGATAGTGGGACATTGCTCATCCCTTTTAAAATTTCTCATTCAAATTTCTATATTACACTTTGATAAAAAAAATCATATAGCAAATTTTTACTATAAAAATCAACACAATAATTTTTATCATCAATAAATTTTCATTTTTATAAATAATGTTATTTTTTATATTTACATTTAAATTAAAAAAAATCATATAGCAAATTTTTACTATAAAAATCAACACAATAATTTTAATCACCAATAAATTTTCATTTTTATAAACATTGAAATACAAAAAAATGTTATTTTTTATATTTACATTTAAATTTTTTTTAAAAAAAATACCAAAGTGTGGCATGGAAACACCCCAGCCAAAATAAAATGTTTACATCCTAAAAACTATGCAAAATACAAATAATTAAAAATTAAGATAAGAGGATATTGAAAAAATCAAGGCAAAATATCGGCCGAATTTTATGTAGTAACATTTTCAAAATCTCTAGGGCTTGCTAGCTTCAGTCACTCATGGGTTAAAACTAATGTTGTAAACGAACGCGTTAGTGAACGAAGTTTGTATTTTTGAATTTATTTTTGACAAAGGTGAACGCGTTCCTTTTTTTTGACGAACGAGTTCGTTTTTTAAGTTCATTAAATTTTAGAAAATCTTATTTTTATTTATTTGAAAACAAAAAATATTAATCCGAATTTTTTAGGAAAAAAGGATTATTTTTATATCAGTTGTTTCTTTTATCAATTTTAAATTTTTGTAACCAGCCACTATTTCATTAAGCATGGATGTTGTTATTTCATCATCATCATCGGATTTTAATATTACCATGGCCCAAATATAACAAATACTTTACAGTAACATCATATATCAATAAATTAATTTTATTCTTACCAATGTAAAATGTATCCAAAAAGTATAATAGTTTCAAAATCTTATATATTTTAGATTGTTGTATTTCATAGGCTTATTAAAATATACTAAATACATAGAGCTAAAACATTAAATAAAATACATAGATATAAAATAGTGTATATCTTTTAGAATTTATTTATTTTTAGTTTTTATTTGAAATTTCGCAGTTATTTTTAGATTTTTATCAAGGGTTTTATATTTTAATACTTGAACACAATTTAAAGTATTATAGATATATAATTTATAAATAATTAAATTTTATATGATATATAAAAGATTTTATATATTAAAAATAAATATTTTCTTATTCACTACCAGCGTTGGCAAATCGGTCAATTCAGATCTCAAATACTCTAAAATATTATTGGCGAATAAATATATTGATTTAATTAACTAATAAGTATTTAAAGCATGTTTATCAAATTAATTAGGTAAAATTTTAAAAATATTTGTATTATAAAGGCATCGATTTAATTATAATTTTATATTAAAATATAAGAATTTTTCTCATTATTAATTTGACTGGATCTCAATATATAATTAAATATACTAATTTTGTTAAAACATGGTCTGAGAAAATTACTGATTGCCAATTTATATTAAATTATGTAAAATTATCCAAGCAATGGGCATCGTCAATAAAATGTAAAGAGCAAATACAAATATTCAAGAAAGCCCTGAAAGAAATTAATGAAGAAATATCTTGGACGTAAAATTTAAAATTTTGAACTATTCTTTAATATTTAGCTATCTTATTGTTGCAAGTACAAAAGGATAAAAATACTTTGGACCATGTAAAACTAGTGTTGTTAAAAAGTCGAGTTCTTACGACTTGCGACTCGAGTCGAGTCGTAAAAAACGGCTCCGACTCAAGCCGATCAAGGAGCCGCATGAGTCGGCTCACTTAGTCGGCTCACTTAGTCGGCTCGCTTAGTCGGCTCGCTTAGTCGGCTCGCTTAGTCGGCTCACTTAGTCGGCTCGCTTAGTCGGCTCAGTTAGTGGGCTCAGAGGGTAGCTTGAGTTT